TGGAAAAAAACTTCTCTCTTGAATTCCTGTATGATCCGGTATCTTTTTTAATTTTACATAATTTATCCATTCGTCCATGTGCTGAACATAGAGGAATTTAGGAATAGCTTCAACTCACCTTCTTTGTTTTCAAGATTTTAAAAAATACATTTTGAATATTTAGCAAAATTATAAGTTTTTAAAATATTGGTTTTGTTTTTAATTTTTAAAACTAAAATATTAAAGTAAAGAAACACAGAAGTAAAAGTATATTATAAGTTTAATTTTCATTAACAAAACACTAATGGTTATGAAATAGCTCTGGGTCGTATAAAATATAAAATTTTCATCAAGTCACAAAGATCTAAATTTATGTTAGAGATACTTGAACAAGTAGTTAACAAGTTTATAAAAAGAAAGATTAAAAAATCAAAACGTGAGGTTCTATATCACGTGATCGTGAAGAAACGACCAACCAAAACATAACTCAATTGGTTAAATTACTTATTTCCGACTAAAAAATTGTGAATTTAAATCTCGTACTCTAACAAAAAAAAAATAGTGAACAAACACACACCTCAACTTTTCAACAAGTATGATATATTAAAGTATAATGGCAATTTCTATTAGTACAATGTGCAGTCTTCCACTACCATTTCGATTTAATAAAACTGCTTCATGACTGGGTATTAGAGTGACCAAAGATAAGCTACGAAATTTATAGCTTCATCAAATGTCGATATATACATAACGAAGGTATATAGAGACATTTCTGTAGTACAAAAAAAAAAAATCACCTTTTTACTTATCTTTATGAAGTTGTGCACTTTTTTTTTTCATTTATTCTGCCTCTTCCTTGCAGCTTACTGTCTATCTACTGAGATCTTCAGGCATCTACAAAACCGCTGCTGCTTGCAGCTGAGCAAGTTCTTCCTCCATTCTCCTTCTACATATATTTCATGACAACTCTAATGCAAGAACTGGCCATTCAAATCTTAATCTAGGCCTCTTCCGCCAATTTTGGGGAGCAGGACGCAACAGCCTCGGCAACCGTCAGAAAGATATGGTCCTCACCAATTACATTTGCAAGATCGGACATGAAGAGTTTGTCGATTACTACTGGCCCGGGATTTGCCAGAACAAGCTGTTCAACAACACCACGCCAAACTTCTGGTAAGGCAAGTTTTGAAAATTTTACAGCACATATGTACCCTTGCTGTGCATGACATTCTGAAGTAGATTACCTGAATATCTCTTTTCTGGAGACTCCTATGTAGCTCTTCCAAAGCATGAATGCCGCTAGTGTCAATGTCGGTAACGGCTAATACAACAAACAAAACACCGGAATCGTGAGGTCGGAACAAACAAGAGTGTGATGTGAATGTGATCGATAGGTTTGTCTACCACGCAGGAGGATTATTCCAAAATATTTGGAAAGGTTGAGAGTACTTACGAGACATCTCAACAATCAAAAACTGAGTTCTTGGTGAATAAGTCTTCTTTATTTGTTCTTCCTCATCAGACAACCATCTCAATATCCTGCAATAAAATTCCCATTGTATAATAAGGTTAAGAGTGACTGAGTTGGAAAAATGCAAGAGCTTCCCGTAACCACCAGAACCCACTTTTCCAGGCTCACACAACCCAAACACGTAGTAAATAATTGCTAAGTTAGTCTAGGAGATAACTATTTGACTATACAATATTTAGTTCGAAAAGAAAGAAAGCCCTTGTTGGAATTCCACCAAGTAGGTAGTCCCCAGGAGATAGAAAAAATTAGTTAAAACTTCAAATACAGCAGGGAAATATCTTTAACCGATTCTTCGATACCCAAATATATAGAATCCTGGAGGTCCTATTTACAACTAAATATGACAAAGTTTTAGAAATTGACACAAATTTCCTAGATATGAATGACAATAGAAGTAGATCATTCTTAAAGATAAAGATCATCATTACCTATCTTTGATATAATTGGAGTTAGAAAAGTAAATAGCCGAATCGACTCTGACAATTAGAATGCCAGGAACCCTTGTTGCTTCTGGATATTGTTGGGTGTTTCTGTACACTGTGGTCCTAGGGATCTTCCCTAGTACCGCAACCCGTGGCCTAGTTACTTGTAAGAGTATCTTAGCAAATGATATAGAGACCTGCCTCCACATCAAAGACAGATTTAGACATCTTTATGAGATCAAGCTAGTAATGAGAGAACTTAAGATAGCAGGCATAATTCTTACAGCAATTAGGAGGCCTATCTCAACATTTACAAAAATAACACCGAAGAAGGCTCCCAAACAAGCAACAAAATCAAATTTATCAATCTTCCAAAGCAAAATTGCTGCCTGAAAGTCGATCAAGTTGATCACAGCAGAGATAATGATGACAGAGAGAATAGCATTTGGAGTGTACTTGAAAAGGGGAGTGATGAACTCTAGAGTTAGAAACACAACACAGGACATAACAATGTTTGAGACTGCAGTTTGGCAGCCAGACATGTAATTCACAGCCGAGCGAGAGAACGAGCCTGAAAGTAGGAACAAACCTTATTAGTTAACATCTACCATTTTATTATGCTCCTAGTTTATACATTATTTAGATGAGCATCATGCAGAAATCACGCTATAACCTGCTTAGTTACCAGTTGGGACTATGCTAATTTTGTGAAGATTTATATAAATACTACTGGTTATTGGTAGCTGCAAGTATTAACAATCAAGCAAACTTGCCATCCAAATCTCTTATTTCTGAATGCTAGAGAAAAAGAATATTCCATTTGAGAATTTTTTAAAAATATCTTAACACGTCTGAAAATTTCATCTAAGGGCTTTTGAAGAAAACTAGATTGGAACTCTTTCATGCACGGTGCCATTATAATCAGTCAATAATTCCACTTTAATCAAAGTAGCTCTAGTATCTTCCTGATTTATGGTTGCTTCCCACCTGTTGCCACATAGCAGGAAGTCATTGAACCAATAACATTCATTGTTCCCAGTGCCACCATTTCTTTGTTACCATCAAGCTGGTAATCCTTCATGGAAGCAAATGTTCTTCCAATTGCTATGGCTTCCTAAAAAGAAAGTGGATTCTCGAATAATATCAAAAGATTCACTGGGTAGTTCAACAAATATTAAATTCAGTCAAATCTACTTCCAAGGATAATATAGTTCTACATTTTGCTTACTGTTAAGGCTATCATACCAGCCACAACGCCAATCCTGAATCCTTTAAGGAGGTTGTCACCAGTGAAGTATATTTGCTTCACTGATGAGGGATTGATACCTTTCTCTATGTGTTTCACCTTCAAAGTTCAGAAAAAAGAAAAAAAATGCATAATAGGAAAAGATAGGATAATCATATTTCAAATAGGAAAAAATAATAAAAAAGTATCCTTACAATTGCAACACCTTTCTTGTCTGCATGGGTAATGTAAACAAAAAAGGTGGACAGAATAACTGATATTAGTGGGGCAATTGCCGGCACCCAAAAGAGGCTTCTATTCTTCTTTCCCTGAAATTGCAAACATGTAAGTTCTTCTAAAGCCAAGAAAAGAAACGTGAAAAATGCTTATGAAAAAATTTCACCACGTAGCAATGGCAAGTAGGATTCTTACAATATACTTAGCTAATAGAAGAAAGCTTAGAAAAGATACTCCAATGACTATAGTCTGCCAGTTCCACTGCAAAGGGTGGTACAGAAGAGAGAAGTTACATGAGATTTAGTTTGTTATACATCAGTGACTCATTTATGTGCAAATAATCATGATAGACACGTGAGGTTTGAGGGTAAGGAGGCTTACTCCATGATGCGCTGCCTCAAATACTGAGCGCATTACAGAGATAATATCTGTTTTCTTCGTAAATTTTGCAATGCCAAGAAAACCTTTAAGCTGTTGAAGGGCAATAGTGATGGCAGCTCCACCCATAAAACCAACAATGGCAGCGTGAGATAGAAAGTCAATCAGAAAACCCAACCTGTTAACGGAAGTCAAGGATACATACACTTATCAACGGTTAGGAGTCTAAAACTAAACATACAGATGATACCAAAACAAGAAGGAAAAAAGACCATTAAAAAAAATCAGATTCTGTTGGGAAAAAAAAAATGACACTCAATTACCTTAGAATCCCTAGCGTGGCTTGGGTGATCCCAGCAAAAAAGGTAGCTGTAAATGCAAGCCGCACATACTCTTCTGGATGTGTATGTTGATCAATCTCCCTTTGAAGCAGTGTTCCCAGCAAGAGAGAAACAACAGCCACTGGTCCAATCGCTATGTCTCTTGAGCTACCCATCACAGCATAAACCAGTGGAGGAACAAAACTGGAGTCTGCAACAATTTGAAAAGTTGGACGAGGCTGGGAAAATCGAAGAGAGCACTTAAACGCAGGAAAACTAGGTGCAAGAGCCATAATAAGTGCTTACATAATCCATACTGGGGAGCCAAATTAGCAAGCTTTGCATACCCTATATCCTGTAATATTAGAACTGACACAATTAGACACAGTTGGTTTCTTACAGTCTCTTTATCTGGCAGCATTTTGTTATCCTCTCTTTTCTTACATCTTTATGCGTACTAAGGCAGCTAGTTTACCTGTGGAATACACAGACTTGCAATAGTGAGCCCAGCGAGCAGATCACCTCTAAATTTTGTCAGATTGTAATTCCTCCCCCATTCAAATATTGGGAAAATAGCCTGAATTCCCAGGATAAACTTTCGGGACTTGGATTGATCCTTGAACGTTCGCAGAGGATCATCAGCAAAGAAAGTCTCTTTCACCCTGGCTTTAAATTCTTTGAAGAAATTTTGCTTCGGTGGAACCCCCACCTTGTGAATGTATTGAGTATTGTTGCGTGAGGATGAAAGACTTCTAATGTCCATCTCTTTTGTTTCAAGTTCTCCCCCATTGGAATGATGCCTAGAATCCATTAGTAACTTGTTCACCTATTATGAGGAAAATAACAAGGAAAACAACGGAAAAGGTTCAGTTTTCATTAGTAAATAGAGGAAGCCGAAGACCAAATGTAGTATGCAGTCGACTTCAATGTTCTAAGCTGGAAAAAATTAAGTCTATGGGCCCCAGATGTTGAAAGGAAAACACAAAAAAATAAATAATAAATCGGTTTTAAAAAGTAGTATACTTCAGTCGCAAAACCCAGAACTAGTACTTAGAGAACAGAACTCAATGACATATCTCACAACCTAAGAAAGTTGAACCCAACCTTATAGAAGATTTGGACAACAAATGGTACAAGCAACGGTGGAAACTCTTCAACTGAGTTTTATAGGCCAACTTCTCTATTATATAAAATATCGGGAGGTTCCAAGTCAAACTTTTCAAGCTGAAATAGCAGAATTATCAAAAGAAAATTTAGCTATATGTCTGGTTCATTTAAACATCAAGACATATGTCAAAATATTGCAGTTAAACCAGCAAAAAAATATTGACAAACTCATTTAGTGGTGTGGACTGGTGTTATCCTCTACCATAGCTATTGGCATTTGAGAAGGCATTGACTTGGATATACAAATAACAGCAGCAGCTTACATACAACGACTAATACTTCCTTATTCATTTGCCTGGGACTGGCCATGTGACAGTTCTGTTTTGAGATTTCAAGTCAATAAAGTAATGTTGAAATTTCACCTCGTGGGCCATCCACAATCAAGACTAGACCTTATTGAAAGAGATCCAAAACTCCTCAGTACATCAGTTAGGCCCAGCTCCCAAGCTGACTTTTCTTCCCCAGCTGGCTAAGTTTGCATTTGTCTCGCAATTTTTTTGAGGGGTTTTATGTAGAATAGATCAAGCAAAGAAAAGTCTAAGAATGCAATCAAATGTTTCAATTCAACACAAGGGTCGAAATTAAGACCATCGAAGAGGACAAATGACTAAAATACAAGTTGTGGGAAATAAAGTAGCTATTATGAAATCTGACAAGTCAATACACAAGAACCAACCAAATAGATCCGCATTACATCAGCTGACATCATAATAACAAGTTAAAAAAAATTCCAGGTCCTCATAAGGAGATTTCACCCAACATAAAGAAACTGAGACCAAGAAATGCATCAGCCATAGCACAGAGAATGAGAAGCAACAGTAGCCATGCATGTAAGTCAAAACCTAAAAACATGGTCTCTATTGCTCAACCTTTAATTTTAAGTTTGGTGGGTCTGTAGCTGAACAATGAAGGGTAAAAAGAGACTATATGTCTTATTTCCCTGCTTCTCGTGCAAACCATCCATAGTGGAGTTTATCAGTATTCAGTATTGAAAATTTGTTTTCTACAAATTCAGCTTCTTCCCTTCAAATCGCACTTTAGCTCTGTTTTCTCTGTTACGAAAACTATAAAGAAAAAGTATATGAAATTGGAAAGGTACAGACGTTCACTATTATTTTATTGAAAAGAAATGTAAAAAAAGAAGAGAACTAAAGATAATCCTCCTTTCCCCACCTTTTTCCACCCCTTTTTGTTCCCCACACTTGATGGCTTCTAGGGTTTCTTTTCGAAAGATCCTCATTTTCTTAATGTAACTTATAAGCAGTAGCAAATACACCCAGAAAGGTAAGATTCGAGAAGATGGATGAAATTCCGTCCAGGTTCAGTGAAACTACAAATCCTACTTTTCCCACCTAACAGAGAAAAAAAATGGTTATCTTACGCGTTGATTCTCATTCAAACTAAATCTTACCGCCCTGTTTGGCTGCCACGACATCGTGATTCCATTTCTCTGTAACTGAAGAGGAACATTTCCGATTCGTCGCTCCCCTTTTCTCTGCTTGTGTGGCGAGAAGAGAACAGCAACCGAACAAAGTAAGTCAAATCGAAGTTCATCTTTTCCAAGAGTCAAACCTAGCTGCCGAGTGCGTTATCTCCGGCCCGACGGTTGAAACTGAAAAAAGTAGTGTGACCGCCGACGCTCCGACGTGGAACTTGGACGTTTACGCGGTCGGATTCCGATTGAGTGGCTCGCTCCCAATTCCGTACTCTGAATACAAATTGGACTCGTCCTGCTATATTTAGAAGTTATGAATTTGAACCGTTGGATGGTTGTATTGTAGATCACAAGTGGTAGATCCAATACATAGGTAATGGCAAAATTCATGGAACTCCCTTTTTTTTTGGGTATTATTGGCCTCCTTTCATTCACTACTTGTTAAATTAGAGTTGTATTAAAAATGAGGTGAGAATCACCCCTATTAAAAAGTTGTTTATAGAGATAAAATTATAGTCTGACCAAAAGAAATATAATATTTTGATAGGTCAGAATTTTATTTCTTTGCCTTGCAATTTACTTTTTATGTAATTTTATAAAATAAAAATGAAAATAGGTTATATATATATATATATATTTCACCCCTTGAAATAGTGGCAGATCGAATTATGAATTTTGAAATAGTAATAGGTGTGAATTATGTTCATACCATAAAATAGAATTCTCAAATGGAATAAATTAATATTATCAATTCTTTTTTTATTTTTTTGATAAAAATTGTAGCTATATAAGCAACTACATGCATTAATTCTCCTGATTTTGATAGAATGTTTTTTCATTAATTTTAGCCTTAAAATTTTCGAAGTTTGTATAAGAGGTGCAATTAATACTCTCACCTGTTAAGTATTTATTTTTTGTATTAGGATTTGTGTGTAGGTGTGAATATTATTATGGTTGAAAGGTTAGTTTTTTTTTTCTTACAAACATATCCTCTAACACAAACCATTGCATTGAAGGTATATATGTGGATATAGAGAGGATCTAATGTATCGAGGAATTGAGACTTTCTGATTTAATAAGCGAAATTGAGATTGAACTAACAAGGACCATAAAATGTTCTTTCATAGGTTGGAAATTTAGACAAACAAAAGAAATTAAAAAGTCCCTTCCCTTTTCTTGGTCTTTCATAGATTGGTTTGTTGTGAGATTTACTACAATTTGACATGTTTTGTCCTCTTTTTATTGTCTGGATCTTGATGGCGATTTATTCCTTTAAATTATAAGTTTGGTATTTTTTAACTTTTAAAAATTATTTTTAGTAAGTCCCTAAACTTTAAAAATATAATAAAATACATCCTTAATAACTTTTAATAGGTCTCTAAACTTTAAAAATAATAAAATAGATCCTTAACTTTTAATGTTGTAATTATACTTTTTAACTATTAAACGCAATCACACAACATTCAAAATTAGATAAATACTAAACATATAATTTAACTATATTTTTTCCTTGTTTTTAGTATTTCTTTAGTACAACAGGTGGAGGGAAATACGAACTTATGACCTCTTGGCCAGAGAGGAGATGTGTCAATTACCACTAAGCTGGGAATGACACTTTTATATTACTGTTAGGCATTTTTTTTTTCCTTTTTTGAAGAATATTACTATTAGAATTTTTAACAAAGAGAATTACATTTGTTATATACCATAAGTTTCATAACTATTATACTTGATTCTTTGTTAATCCATAAGCAAATTGATTTTTGGCATTATTAATTGAACCTCTAAAGTCAAATACAGTGCTCTTTTTTTTTTTTTAATTATTGAGTTGAGGAAAAACTTTGAGCATTGAACATCCCAATATGCAATAGATTTGCTAGGGCAAAACCCTAAAGAAAACAAATGTCTGTACTATTGTGCTTTTTTCAAATTGGGGGCCGAAAAACTGGACCAAATTATGTGATTGCAAACTTAGGATTTTTTTGGAAAATTGTTTTCACATTTGCTTGTGATATAATTTGGATTGAATAAATTATATTAAATTAAGACATTTAGATCTAAAATTTTGTTTTGATTTATCAACTTTTGCACCTTTCTTGTTTTTGTCTTTATATTGGTAAAGATTTTGTTTTAGCCTCTCAATTTTTAATTTTTTGGTTTAAAATTTTAAATTATATTTGATATATTTAAATATTGTTCATGGGTGAATTAGGTTTTCAAAAAGAAACTATTTCTTGCCGGTAACATCCCTCTGGCATTTTCATATGTCCAAATATATTTTTTTAAAATAATAATAATTTAGTGATACTTGATAACAAATATTTAACAATTTTTTCTCTTGAAATGACCTAATTGAGACTAAGAATTACCCAAAAAAAAAAAATTAAGGATCATGAGATATATTTAACCTATTAATTATTGTTATTACTTTTTAGTTTTTTGTCAATTATTTAAAAATTATTTACTTTTTTTTTTTTGTTTTGTTTTGGAACCCTAACCTTATCATCTACTATGTGTGGTCTTAAATACTTTTTTGTTGTTGGAGGCATCTAGTTATCACGTAAATTCGAATTAGATAAAATAATAATAATAATAATAATAATAAGTAAATTTTATTTTTTATGCAAAAATTTCAAAACCTAAAATGTTTGAAAGGCTCCAAATAAGATAGTTACGAAAGTTTTTAGAGATCAAAATAAAATATATATCTAAGTTATTATCTAATTTTTCTATGATTTTGAGAGTAGTAATAATTGTCAAAGCTAACATAGCTCAGCGGTAATCGACATATATCTTAAAAATAAAAGTTGTGAATTCGATCCCCATCTCACATATTATTGATTAATTAATTTTTTTTCCCTAAAAAATAGGTTACCTAATGGGAAAGAATCTTTTAAAAGTACAAACACGAAATTTTTATTTTGAAAAATACAAAACCATTTCAGAACTTTTTTGACTTCCCTGCGGCTGCCAATTCACTTTTTTTTTCCAAGACATGGGAATGGGAGATAGAGAATCTAGAGATGAACAATAATTTACACTTCAATTTCATCGATCAATTTTATATAAAATGCATAGAATTTTACAAGTTTACAATTTATAAACTTTCAATGAGATTTTAAATTAAAATAGAAGCACATTTTTCTCCAAAATATTGTATGTAAAGATACTTTATTTTATCGCACCTTCTTATATATGTGTATATATGTATAAACATATTAGCTTTTAAAAAGTTTACCATTTTTCTAAGATAAAAAATTTACCTTTTTATGTGAAATATATAACATTTTACAGATATACGTTCTTATACTTGATATATTTACATTACAAGTAGATTGCATGTGTATAAATAGAAAATACAAATATCTTGACTTCTTAAGTCAATCTTTTGAATTCAAAGTTAGAAAATTAACAATAATGTAATCATTTGTTGATAAGTTTATATTATATTAATTTTTAACATATCATTTGACAGATGAAGATCTTCTTCATTTTTAAACTTGAAAATAAATCAAAATTTGTTGATTATTTGTCAATAATAATAATATATTAAAATGGGTTTAATTTGATTTTTCTTTGTTAAAATAATAAAAAAAGGGTTTGTTCAATTTATTCAACTTTGACCATTCCCCATTTTTGTTTGGCTTAAGAGAAATGACGTGGACTCGTAGCCAATGAGTTTTTCCCATAGAAACTCTTTAGAAATTATTAGAAATCATCTTTATTTGAAAGAATGATTTTTTTTTCTTTCGTTCACATTGTAACTATTATTAATTTTACTAAAAAAATGAAAATAATTCTTTCTAATTCACATAAAAAAATTAATTATCCTTCTGGTTGTTTGATGTTTTTAGAGAGGGTGAGGAATATTAATTCTCATTGTCCCATCTTGGGGAGATCTACTGGTATTTAATAATATTATTTCGCTTTTAATTTTCTTTTTCTTTTTTAAAATTAAGTCCAAGAACACTACGATCAACTTGTATATTTTTTATTATGTCATCGCTGGGAAAACTAAAAAACTAAAAAACATAAATTTTGAAATTTGGCCAAGAAGTCAAATGTAAAGGTGAAACCTAACAAAGAGATGGTGAGAAACCAAGTATATAGTTTGTAAAACTATAAAAAAAACGAAATAATTATCAAATGTATCTTAATTACTTATCCAAATCTCCCGGGAGTAACTAGTAAGTTAGTATATATCTTGATAGTTAAACCAAATTAAAAAATATATATATATATATATATATATATTTCCACTGTACAGTCTTTTTTTTTAAAGTTATTTTCTAGAAAAATATGTTACGTTCGAAGAATTTCTCCCTTTTTTTCCTATTCTTTTTGAGAAACATCTGAAGAATTTCTAGACATCAATGTAGGTTTTATTCCAATTATTTGTAATTTCTTTCCTATCATTCTCATAAAGTAAACGAACCAAATGGAAAGAAAATGTTCTCCGATCTAATGTGGAAAGGGGCCAACCAGTTGAAATGCCGTTCACGTACAGTAGCTTTCACTAAAGAAAAAATATATATATATTGTTATTATTGTAAATTTTAATTGGTTTGATTTAGTTTAATATTCTCTCCGTGTTAAACTTTCTATCTGTATTTTGACAAAAAAAAAAAATAATAGACTTTTAGTGTCAAGAATACATATGTCTTAATTAGTTGCTATTTGATTCAAATTTAATAAAATTAATTAAAAATATTTAAGTTTCTATTTCATTTTAATTTTTTTTTGAAGTTATTAAAATGACTCATCGGCAATATAAACCTAACTTAGTAGTTAAACACCATACTTCTTTCTTTATATTAAAGTTTCAAATTGCTACCATATATTTGTTTTCTTTAATAGTAGAAAATGTTTAATATGAGCAATAAATAAATTAGATAAGTTTTAGTTAATTGGTATTGCATGAGATATATAGGTTAATGATGTTAATGACAAAGACCAAATAAAAGAATAAACCACAATACATAGACAAATTTTAATTCTTTTTCTTAAGTTTAAGAATTAAATAGATATAATCTAATTTCAACCTTCTTCGACAGGAAAAAAAAAATCTAATTCGAGTCTAGATCAATAAACAAGATACTCATTATCATCCTAAAGATTGACTGTTCGATTCTTCGCTCCATAATTATTTTGTATTTTTTTCCACGATCCTTGAACTAAAAAAATACATCATATTATGCATGAAATTTAAGGGACTTAATTTATAAAATTTAATCTATACCAAAGTACATTTTTTTTAAGGATTAATAAGGGTGAAACTAATGAAATATACGTAAATAATTGAATGAAAGGATATGTTGGGAGTTTTATGATTGGAGAGTGGGCAAAGGGTAAAAAATGACTCCCTTCCATATCCTTTAATACGTTAACCATATTTATACTTTTAACTTACCTTTTGACCATTTATATTCATAAT